GTTTTCTTCTTTTTGGATGTGTGCATTTATTTGCAATAAATTGTCCTCTTAGCACCGCTTTTGCCGTGTCCCAAAGATTTTGGTATGTTGTGTTTTTGTTCTCATTGATTTCTAGAAACTTTGTGAATTCACGTTTAATTTCTTCTACTACCCAGTTTCTTTTCAGCAGGGTGTTGTTCAGTTTCCATGTATTTGGCTTGATTTCCTTGGTCTTCATAGTGTTGATTTCTAATTTGATAGCATTGTGGTCTGAGAAGATGCTTTGTAGTATTTTGGTATTTGTAAATTTACAGAGCTTTGTTTTGTGGCCTAAAACATGGTCATGGTCTATTCTGGAGAATGTTCCATGTGCACTAGAAAAGAATGTGTATTGTGCATTTGTTGGGTTGAATGCTCTGTACACATCTATGAGGTCCAGTTGCTTGATTGTGTTGTTTAGTTCTTTTGTGTCTTTGTCAAGTTTCTTTCTGGTTGTTCTATCCATTTTTTTAAAGTGGTGTATTAAAATCACCCATTATTATTGTAGATTCACCTATTTCTTTCTTCAAATCTATTAGTTTATTTTATATATTTTGGAGCTCTTTCATTGGGAGTATAGATATTTATTATGGTTATTTCATCTTGTTCAATTGTCCCTATAATCATGAGATAATGTCCATCTTTATCTGTTATGCTGATTTTTGCCTTAAAGTTTATTTTATCAGAGATTAGTACTGCCACTCCTGTTTGCTTTTTATTGCAATTAGCTTGGTATATTTTTTTCCATCCTTTGACTTTTAATCTATTTTTGTCTCTCTGTGTGAGATGTGTTTAAGGTCTCATTTCCTTTTAAAAGCTGCTTAACATGTTTTGGGTTAAGAGTGAGCTTCTAGTTTACTGGAACTTTTTTCACCTGAGTTGTTACTAAACCGAGTCGCTCCCACCTTCTATATTTGTGCACCTGACTTTGTAAAACTCAATGTCGGATTTCACATCTATTCCTTTCAAATTGAATCTTGTCGATTAGTCTGTCCATCTGGTTTCTAGATTATGTTATGCATACCGTTTCCTGGACTGCCCTCCCTCCACCCCCACATTTGATAACCTTACTAGTAGAGCTCTGGTGTTATTGGGTGGGTGGTGGTGGTGGTATCCATTGTGTTGCTATCGTGCGATCTGCAGGGTCAGTGGTTCAAACCCAGCAGCCATTCTTGGGGAAAGATGAGGCTGTCTGCTTCGGGTCAAGATTTACAATCTCAGAAACGTAATATAAGGTCACTATGAGTCAGACTTGACTTGATGGCAGTGAGTTTAGTGGGGATTTTTAGTTCACTAGTAAGGGAGCTCTGGTAGTGTAGTGGTTACGAATCGGGCTGCGAACCG